TTTTTTTTTTTTTTTTTTTTTTACCTTATTCGAATTAAAAGATCGGAGTTCAATGCCTCTTGTATATAACGTTGTTGTTTATCGATAAAAATATCTCGTTTATAAGTTAACGGGTTATCGCTATTTCCGTAAAGTCAGTAAAAACAGTCTCATCGCTTCCCCCTAAATGGGTATCGGACAGTGGACCGGTCGGAAAATCGTATAATCTCTAATTAACGTGGTTGTTGAAACGCCAAAAGTAATTTTGAAATTTTTCAAAATTAAGGGGGAAATTCGATAAACCAGCACCGCCCGTCCAACACCGCGCCGCGCCCCGAAATGAGACGCGGAACATCCGCCCGCGAGGTACCGACCTGTCGCGACCGACGTGTGGAAAAAACGTACACGCGAATCGAGTGTGGATGAACGAACACGAGCGCCGCCGGCCGTTCGGAATATTAATGCAATTATGATAAAAATAACCGTAATGAACGCATTATCGAACGCGTACACGCATCGCATGAAATTGCATATTATACCGCAGAATTGTTGTTCCCGGTAACGCATAATATTTATGCGTTCAAATGTGTATAAGAGTTACAACGATATTATTGGGGGGGGGGGGAAATAATAATAATAAAAAAAGAACCGCGTTATTATTACGCGACGTATTATTTTGTTAGGGTGCGTCGTAACGTTTCGCTATTACATTATTATCGGCCGACAATCGTGTCGAAAATCAATCGGCATCCACACCAGCATTACACGCGTAGTCCGCAAATCGTGTACAACGGGCACGTCATTTTCTACGGCCGGTTTATCGATTAAAACCCGCGCGCATTACGCACTGCGGTGCATGCGAATGTGAGTAATGTGCCAGTGGCGCGTCACCTCGAGCCCGAGTCAGTGGCGCCGGAGTCCGGAAAATGCAGTCGGGCGAAATACATTTTTTGGAGGTTCCAAATAATTGAACACGGCCCATTCCGGGCCCGAAATTACGGTTAACGTTTACGGGTTTTATCGCCGTAATCGAGTGTTCGTTCGGTTTGGCGACCGAATTTCGCGCCGAAATGAAGCGGCCCTGTGCTTAAATCTTTAAACAATATACCTATACCTATATACACCGGTAATACAATTTTATAATCTGTAAATCTCCGCAATTATTATTATTATTATTATTATTTTTTTCGGAAATATAGCGACATCAAAAACGTAAATTGTTTTTTTTGAATATTATCATTGTCGATTGTCAGTTGTATTGATAAAAAAAATTGAAGCTTTTGCGTTGCGTTTAAGTCTAAATACAGAAAATGATAGGCATAATAATAAATAATTAAATTTAAAAAATATATTTATATTTAGACCAGTGATAATATTATTGCTCGGTAAATACCGAGTCAGATATTTATACCACATGTATCTCAAAATTATATTGTTATTATTTAAATATTATTTTTTATATAGAGCTGGAAAGGGCCACGAAATTTGGAGGCCCTTTTCTCATGCACGACATGCGCATGCGTAAACCAGGGCCTGCGATTCATACGTGACAATAATACCGCAACGTATTATTATGAAAAACCAATGGTCAAAATCGATCTGCAGAAATTAACTGCGAACAACTCTACACGTACAAAATGTAATAAATCATGTGCTATCGTGCAGAATCGTGTATTTTATACAACACGATCATCCAAACCAGCCGGCTAGCGATATGATCGCTGATCTCGGTTTCATTCTCGCTCGCACATTGTGCCCAAACAAATAAACATAAACATATTGAACAGTAGTTTGTTGTGAAACGTTGAAACGCAAAGTTTTTTACAGCACGCTGGTGTGCCCACTATTCGAATTCGGTGCTGTACTATAGGACCCATCATCGACCATCTTGGGCCCAGTGTACACTAGAAAGGGTCCGGCGAAATCCCTAGGTTGGCACTCTTTGCTCTTGAAAATCCCTCATCCTCTCCAGTCAGTAACGTGCTTATTCGCTCTGCAACCTGTCAGACCGTGGACATAGGTTGTCCCTTCTATTTCTTTCTACCTTCGACTCTACAGATAAAACTGATAGTACTTTTTTTACTCTCCCTAGTCAACTCCAACACCTCTTCTTATTCCACTAGAACAATTGCTCTTTTTAAACCACCTCTCAATCCTGTACGTCTTGCCACTAGAACTCGGCAGTTGTAAATATGACGCGTCATTCATCGCCAAGTTTCTTTCAATTCGCCCTTGACGTATCACTTATATTTTTTCCCGTATTGGACCCACTCCATAATTAATACAATAATAGCTCTATACAAATAAATGTAAAACCAAAAACTACAACATTAGTTATATGATATTTGCATAGGCGCAAATAGCCCAAATATTTCTTTTTGAGGAGGGGGTGGTGCTTAACACCCCACGATAATAATCAGTATTTATTTGATAAAGATTTGATTTCGGAGGCTTATCTGAGTTTCGAAAGAGCTAAGCCCCCGATTCGCGCCCATGGATGTTATAGGGAATATATAGCTTTTAATCAAAATCTAAATTTATACAATGTACGCACCATCAACAAAATCAATCAATTCTATTAATTTTCAATAATATTTCGCACTCATTCGTCTATCGATTGTCAGTAAAATACATTTGCAATGCACTTAAATATAATGAATTTTCAACTGCCCACGCATTATAACGAACAATTTTCAAATTAAGCGAACTATTAGCTACCTATGTATACATTAACTATATTAATTCGAAAATAGAACGATAATATTGTAATGATGTGTGCAAAAATATATATAACTAATTTTTAAAACATTTACCCGGATAACGTTATGAGCCAAAAATTATAAATTTAAGAAAAACAAATGTATTCACAATTCTTGCCAACAATCTGTACTGTAATTTGTAATTATACGAATGCTAAATCGTAGGTAAATGATTATAATTTATAATTCAAATTAACTCATAAATTAATTAAACGAGTATTTCAAATTAAAATTAATATTTTATCGTCTAAGCCATATAATTTATTTACCAACAAACATTATAGCGAATACGTATATAAATAGTGAAAAAATAATTACATTTTATGTTGTAATATAAATGCTACTGCTGCTATTTATATTTGAGGTTTTGAAAAGAAAGTACTAATCTCGTGTGTCTGTACACCGTAGTGAATATAATGAATCGTTACACGAAAACACGAAAATAAAAGGTTGTCATATTGACTGGCTCGAAAATTGTGCGGCCTTTTCTTGAACCACCGCGGAGGCGGTGGTTTTTCGTAATGGCATTTTCAAAACCCGGGTCCTCTGGTAGTGCACATACATGTTCGTAAGTTTAATATACGTTACCTGTATAATATTAAAATTGTCAACATTTCATTAAGCGCCATCCATTTAATGTAGGTTGCTATTTAAGAATCAAATGTGGTGAGATCACTCCCGAAAATACGAATAACGAAGGATATAACGGTATAACGTAACACTTTAGAGCGATTTCTTTTTATAAGTTGTTTA